GTTCAGGGTTTAGGGTTTGAGGATGTTAGCACTGCTGCCCAAAGGCTCCTTGTATAATACACACATTGGCCCTAAATCACCTCAAAAAGGGATCCCTTTAAGGTCTACTACATATAGACTGTATGGGCACATGGAGCCTTAAAGCTGTAGACACCTGATTCATACACCCCTTCCTTTTTCAATGGTTTAAAAAACCGGATCCTAATAGAAGCTTAAATCCTAAACCTCATACCCGAAACCCTAATAGAAGGGGGTTCATGGATCGCCAGTGTTTGGAGGTGAACCCTAAGGGTCCAGGTACTGTACCCAATAATCATTTACTCTCCTAAAGAGTAGACTACACATGTACTATCCTAAACCCTGATCCAAACAACCCTAAACCCTAAACCCAAACCCTAAACCCTAAACCCTAAATACCTACTTATTAGGTCCTTTGGATGCTAAGGTGAAAGAGTCTCACTTTCCGTTGCAAGGCCCTCCATGCAGCTCAACGCACGCTCCGTCATCCCAGCTGAAGTTGGCGTTATGATTACCTGTAGCCGAAAAGACCTACCCTTTGAGGGTTCCTTGCTAAGGTTTCTGTATATGGGGTTCAGGTAGGGCTGGAGGCCCAAAACACGTAGCTTCCCGACACCGAAAGTTCGAGATACTGGGACAATTCCTGAGCCTGGTAAGTAACGAAGTATCAAATAAAGCAGACACCCAGTGTTATCATGCCAAGAGAGTAGGCTTTAGGAGTGGTACATGACCCATGAAGACATACCTAAACCCTAAACCCTAAACCCTAAACTAAACCCTAAGCTGCTGAAACGCAGCCTACGCCCTGAAAAGGGCCCTTGACAACGAAGGTCGTGCCCCTGAAGAGGATCATGTCGCAAGGGTATATGCCGCCAATGGAAAAGCAAAGCCAATACTGTTATTCCAGTAATGTCGGGCCCTCAATAATTAGAATAGGGTTTTGGGGCCCATTAAACTACAACTATAAAAGGAACCGCAAAATAAGACAGGTAATTATTGAGGCCCCTATATTACGAGGAGTGCCCTAAACCCTAGATCTAAGCCATAAGTTTATGAGTCCGCAGTGGGGTTGAGGATTTGCGGGTTCAGGGTTGGCTTTCGAGCCTACAGGTGTTAGGGTGTAGGGATGTTTCGGTTTGGGGTTGTATGGTCTAAAGTTGCGGGGGCGAAAGTTGCTCTTGGTTTTTCATCCATAAACTATTGTTCTTCTGTTGCCAATCGTAATACTACTATCTACTTGTTATGGCTGTTGTCGGGTTTGCGTTAGTACCACAAGTGCACCATTGCTTGACAGCAAGCCTAAAAATCGGTGGACGACTTCAATGCTCAGTTAGGCCGTACATATGCTCTCGAAGTATCTATTGCCTACACTTAACAAACAGGCATACCAATAAGAGCAAGTCGCTGGCACAACAGCTGTGGGCTTCGTGGCAGTTGTCACTCGCCCTCGCTGGTGGAACCAGAACGGGCTACCGTTCCACTTGTAGCTCTTGTACCACCCCTCGATGCACTCGTTAGGCCCAACGTCCTTGCCAAATGGAATCGAAAGATCCATCAAGTAGCAACACCCGTAGCCCAAAAAACCTACCTTTTCAAGGAAAATGATCCTTTTTAGAGCTCCTCATCTTCATTTCCTCATTTTTTGTAGGTCTTCAAGAAGTTATATAGGTTGCCTCGGGGTGAATCTACCTTGGGGACCACAAATGACCCTTATTAAGTAAGGGGCCCTATACACTTATACTATGAGTCCCTATATGTTTTATATGAACCTGAAACCCTTTTGGGGATGATTTCGTGCTTAAGGTATAAGCCCCAAACACCACAGGAGCGCGGGTTGAGTCCTTGTGTTGGCGGGATGTTCTTGCAAAAGCCTTCACACCCAGACCCTAAACCCTACACCCCAAACCCCAAACCTTAAACCCTAAACCCTGAACCCTAAACCCGAAAACCCTAAACCCTATATACCTTACCTTAAGGGCATGTGCATTACGGTGTTCCAACTCTATGGCTCCTACTATAGATAATATGATATACCCTGAACCATGTGCCCTAAAATCCCTAAACCCTAGACCCCAAACCCCTAAAGCCCTAGACCCTAAGCCCCTAAACCCTAGACCCCAAAACCTAGACCCAAAGCCCCTAAACCCTACCAAAGCCAGGCTTCCGCCGGGCTGGAGGACCCGCAGATGTCCATCTCGGGACATGCCCTTCGACCACTGTCGCAGCATGTGATCCAGGATTCCTGGAAGTCCTGAAGGGCGCCCCTTAAGAGCTCCTTTAACTTATTGGCTGTAAACTCAACTNNTCTTATAAGGTAGTCGATTCTGAAAGTTTCAACTTTTATTTCCATGGGTTTTGGGCCAGTGAGTTAAAGGATTGCCTTTGAGGGCTCATCCAAATAGGAGTGCATGGAGATTGAGGTTGAAGAGTCTTTAGAGTTTAGTTTCTTTGGGTTTAGGGGTTCAGGGGTTTCGGGCGGTTTAGGGTTTAGGGGTTTCGGGGTTTTGGCGTTTAGGGTTTAGGGTAGGCCCCAGTAGTACAGTACCTTACACCCTTTCGTTTTCGGGTCTCCGTATTCGAAGTGCCCAGAGAGCCCACGACCCCTCGATTGATTACTCCTTAAACCCTAGACCCCTAAACCCTAAACCGGGACTAAAACTTAGACTGTAAAGGGTATGATATCCATAAACCCTAAACTCTCAACCCTAAACCCTAAACCGATATGTTGGTGTAAGGTTCATTCCTCAACTCAGCAACATGAGGGGTCCAAGAACGCCCCCCCCCACTCATTTCCTCCACATGAAGAAGGGAGAGGAAGAGAAAGATCATACACTATGTGGAGGTTGCACATTATGGAATAGCCATCGCCGGATGGTCGAGTCCAAGTAGCGCCCGCTCGGGGAATCTTGCAGTATACTTCATAAAGTTTTAGTAAGGAGCCCTTTGGAACGGTACTGTTGATGGACAAAATTCTGCATGATTCAAATATAGTATAGTA